CTAGAACTGAACTAGAACTGAACTAGAACTGAACTAGAACTGAACTAGAACTGAACTAGAACTGAACTAGAACTGAACTAGAACTGAACTAGAACTGAACTAGAACTGAACTAGAACTGAACTAGAACTGAACTAGAACTGAACTAGAACTGAACTAGAACTGAACTAGAACTGAACTAGAACTGAACTAGAACTGAACTAGAACTGAACTAGAACTGAACTAGAACTGAACTAGAACTGAACTAGAACTGAACTAGAACTGAACTAGAACTGAACTAGAACTGAGCTAGAACTGAACTAGAACTGAAATAGAACTGAACTAGAACTAAACTAGAACTGAACTAGAACTGAACTAGAACTGAACTAGAACTGAACTAGAACTGAACTAGAACTGAACTAGAACTGAACTAGAACTGAACTAGAACTGAACTAGAACTGAACTAGAACTGAACTAGAACTGAACTAGAACTGAACTAGAACTGAACTAGAACTGAACTAGAACTGAACTGAACTAGAACTGAACTAGAACTGAACTAGAACTGAACTAGAACTGAACTAGAACTGAACTAGAACTGAACTAGAACTGAACTAGAACTGAACTAGAACTGAACTGAACTAGAACTGAACTAGAACTGAACTAGAACTGAACTAGAACTGAACTAGAACTGAACTAGAACTGAACTAGAACTGAACTAGAACTGAACTAGAACTGAACTAGAACTGAACTAGAACTGAACTAGAACTGAACTAGAACTGACCTAGAACTGAACTAGAACTGAACTAGAACTGAACTAGAACTGAACTAGAACTGAACTAGAACTGAACTAGAACTGAACTAGAACTGAACTAGAACTGAACTAGAACTGAACTAGAACTGAACTAGAACTGAACTAGAACTGAACTAGAACTGAACTAGAACTGAACTAGAACTGAACTAGAACTGAACTAGAACTGAACTAGAACTGAACTAGAACTGAACTAGAACTGAACTAGAACTGAACTAGAACTGAACTAGAACTGAACTAGAACTGAACTAGAACTGAACTAGAACTGAACTAGAACTGAACTAGAACTGAACTAGAACTGAACTAGAACTGAACTAGAACTGAACTAGAACTGAACTAGAACTGAACTAGAACTGAACTAGAACTGAACTAGAACTGAACTAGAACTGAACTAGAACTGAACTAGAACTGAACTAGAACTGAACTAGAACTGAACTAGAACTGAACTAGAACTGAACTAGAACTGAACTAGAACTGAACTAGAACTGAACTAGAACTGAACTAGAACTGAACTAGAACTGAACTAGAACTGAACTAGAACTGAACTAGAACTGAACTAGAACTGAACTAGAACTGAACTAGAACTGAACTAGAACTGAACTAGAACTGAACTATAACTGAACTAGAACTGAACTAGAACTGAACTAGAACCGAACTAGAACTGAACTAGGACTGAACTAGAACTGAACTAGAACTGAACTAGAACTGAACTAGAACTGAACTAGAACTGAACTAGAACTGAACTAGAACTGAACTAGAACTGAACTAGAACTGAACTAGAACTGAACTAGAACTGAACTAGAACTGAACTAGAACTGAACTAGAACTGAACTAGAACTGAACTAGAACTGAACTAGAACTGAACTAGAACTGAACTAGAACTGAACTAGAACTGAACTAGAACTGAACTAGAACTGAACTAGAACTGAACTAGAACTGAAATAGAACTGAACTAGAACTAAACTAGAACTGAACTAGAACTGAACTAGACTGAACTAGAACTGAACTAGAACTGAACTAGAACTGAACTAGAACTGAACTAGAACTGAACTAGAACTGAACTAGAACTGAACTAGAACTGAACTAGTATTGAACTAGAACTGAACTAGAACTGAACTAGAACTGAACTAGAACTGAACTAGAACTGAACTAGAACTGAACTAGAACTGAACTAGAACTGAACTAGAACTGAACTAGAACTGAACTAGAACTGAACTAGAACTGAACTAGAACTGAACTAGAACTGAACTAGAACTGAACTAGAACTGAACTAGAACTGAACTAGAACTGAACTAGAACTGAACTAGAACTGAACTAGAACTGAACTAGAACTGAACTAGAACTGAACTAGAACTGAACTAGAACTGAACTAGAACTGAACTAGAACTGAACTAGAACTGAACTAGAACTGAACTAGAACTGAACTAGAACTGAACTAGAACTGACTAGAACTGAACTAGAACTGAACTAGAACTGAACTAGAACTGAACTAGAACTGTAACTAGAACTGGAAACTAGAACTGAACTAGAAACTGAACTAGACTGAACTAGAACTGGAACTAGACTGAACTAGAACTACTAGAACTGAACTAGAACTGAACTAGAAACTGAACTAGAACTGAAACTAGAACTGAAACTAGACACTGAACTAGAACTGAACTAGAATCTGAAACTAGAACGAACTAGACTGAACTAGAACTGAACTAGAAACGGAACTAGAAACTGAACTAGAACTGAACTAGAACTGAAACTAGAAACTGAACTAGAACTGAACTAGAATGAAACTAGAACTGAACTAGAACTGAACTAGAACTGAACTAGAACTGAACTAGAACGAACTAGAACTGAACTAGTAACTTGAACTAGAAACTGACCTAGAACTGAACTAGAACTGAACTAGAACTGAACTAGAAACTGAACTAGAACTAGAACTAGAACTATGAACTAGAAACTGAACTAGAACTGAACTAGAACTAGAACTAGAACTGAACTAGAACTGAACTAGAACTGAACTAGAAACTGAACTAGAACTGAACTAGAACGGAACTAGAACTAGAACTAGAAACTGAAACTGAACTGAACTAGAACTGAACTAGAACTGAACTGAACTAGAACTGAACTAGAACTGAACTAGAACTGAACTAGAACTGAACTAGAACTGAACTAGAACTGAACTAGAACTGAACTAGAACTGAACTAGAACTGAACTAGAACTGAACTAGAACTGAACTAGAACTGAACTAGAACTGAACTAGAACTGAACTAGAACTGAACTAGAACTGAACTAGAACTGAACTAGAACTGAACTAGAACTGAACTAGAACTGAACTAGAACTGAACTAGAACTGAACTAGAACTGAACTAGAACTGAACTAGAACTGAACTAGAACTGAATAGAACTGAACTAGAACTGAACTAGAACTGAACAAGAACTGAACTAGAACTGAACTATAATTGAACCAGCATTTTTTTAACGTACACAATTACAAATTCAATTTTCTTTATTAACAATTTTATAAGCATTTAGTGCAAGTATTTAAATTGAATTATCTGAGGTATTTTTGCAAATAACGAAAATATTTTAATTGTCGAGTACATCATCACGTATGAGTTATGAATTAAATGTAAATAATTATGCATCATACGTTTATGATCATTTTAAATATACATACATATTTTAATTAAATTAATGTTATGTATGTTTTCTTTTTTGTTTGCATACTCACTTTTTTTTTTTGTAGAAAATTTATTCAATTTATAGAAGATAATTCATTCATTTAATACTATAGAATGCAAATATTTATATATGTATATAAATAGCGTTGCTGAAAATGTTAGCAAACCTATGGTATAAATTAAGCGATTAAAAAAATATACACTAATCCTTTAAATTTTTTATGTAAGTTAGGATTTCTAGGATTTGTATAGAATTTTATAAAATTTCTTATACATTTTTAAATGTAGGTTTGATAACTTCTAATTGTAAGTTACTATATACTTACGTATTTTATATATATATAAATATCTGAAGACGTAATATAATATTTTATTATAATTACTTGTGTAACACAATTAATTTAATTTAATTTAATAGTTTATTTTGAAATTGCATCATTAAATATGTTTATCATTATGCAAAATATAAGGGCTTAAGAGCATTTAAATGAGGGTAAAAATCACTGCTTATTTAATCAATTTTCTATTAATAATATTTAATATATTCTCGACTACATATAAGGTAGAATAGGGTGTACTGAATAATGTTTAAAAAATTTAACGTTTACTTTAATACTTTTTCTTTTCTTTAAAGTAGTCATAAGAAAAATATATTCAGCAACTCTGTCACTTAATTGCTATTTAAGCAATTGATTAATTTGTTTAAACGAATTTTGTGTAGCAAAACCAATTAACCTCAAATATTTAGTTACTAACACCCATTAATCACAATAAGGGTGTTAAAGTTTCGAAAACAACTTTTTTCCATTACTGTCTTTTTTTATTTCGTTAGTATTCTGTTGGCAAACATAAACTTTTTAAAGAAAATTTTCTTAAAAACATTTTGTAAACAAATTAACTTTAAATAAATGAATTTACCAGCGCAAAAGTTAATAAATATTTATGTTCTAAAGATCCCCTTGATTAAGTAAACGAGTTCGTACAGTTTTATTTTTTCGGGAGGGAATAAATAAACAAATGGAAATAAATGAAAAAAATAAAGAAATAAAACAACATTTGTTATACACCACAGGCCAAAGTAGCAGTTAGCAAAATAAAAATCAATAAATGATTCTAAATGAAAGTCAAAATAAACAATATTTGAAAAGGTTGTAGTAGCAATACTCACTTTAAATCAATTAAGGACTTAAGAAACTCTTGTTAGAGAAGGACGAAAGAAATTATTTCATGAAATGTAAATAAGTGTATAAGAATAATTTTATTTATATTTACCGACTTATTCATAGAGCATAATTTGCAAACAACTAGCATTTACATTTATAATAAAATTTTAAATTTGTTAAAAGAGAAAAATTAAAGTTTTAGTTAAGTATTTGTTAATACTCCCAGAAGTATACAAAAATAACAAATTAACTTATTTTTAAATTTAATTTGGCCTTTATTTTTCTGCACACTTAAATATGTTTGTGCGTATTTAAACATAAAATTATTATTATTTGTTCAACCATTTACTAAATTTTTTATTTTTTTCAATTTCAGTTTTTAGTTACTCGCCAGTCTAAACAGCTTTTAAAACGTGTTGTTGAAAAGTTTGTTACAAAAAAGAAACTAACTAAAGGAAAAATAACATTTTAGAAAGTTCTTGAAGTTGTTAGAAAAAAAAACAACAAAAGGCAACAATAAAGGGAAAAACACACACACATACCCTAAAATAAAAACGAAGTTTAAGCCACAATTTGCTAAAAGTTAATACGTTTGAAGCAAACATTTTATAACAGAACATTGTAATAAATTTCTTAAAGTAGCAAAAAGTCTGTTATACAACTAAACCAACTGGCAGCAACAACAGCTATTCACAACAATAGTCTAAAAAACACACATATACACACACACAATCTAACAATGTATATACAACAAAATTGGCACACAGTTGTGGATTATTTCCGGCCAAGCAGGAAATGCTTTTCATTTAACGGAAGTTTACTATTTCTGCTTATACTCCTAGTCGGTGGCATAGCTCATCAAACAGCTGCTCGACCCAGTCATGATGAAGATTTACCACCAGGTTTTAATGTTAACGAAGAATTTCGAGATGTCGATAATTTAGAGGTAAGATAATTATCAGCTTAAAAGCTGTACATAGAAAATAAGTTGTTACTTTTTTCCTTGCAGGAAGTTAGAACAGAAATTAAGAATGAAAAGAAAACATAACAATTGCTTTAATGTTATTTTTTATATATATATATTTTTTTATTTTCGATAATTTACAGATACATCGTGTTAAGGTGGTGGATGGTGTGGCGCAAGAAGATCATCCGATTATTATATATAAAGAGGATCTTGTTAATGAAGATTATGGTGAGTAGGGGAAACTTAATAAGATTAGTTTATGTTAAAAAAGGACTAGTTTATGTTAAACAAGTAAGATGTCTTTATTCGCCTTTGCCGAATCTTATATACCCTTCACCATAGTGTGTCCCATAAGCAATGTTGTTGTTGCTTTTATGTCAAAGCATGTCATTCCGTTTGTAATACATCGAAAGATTCGCATAAGTCCCCTAAAAGTATATATATATATATATATTCTGGGTCCTTATTATATTCTGAGGCGATCTAGCCATGTCCGTCCGTCTATCTGTCCGTCTGTCTGTCTGTTGAAATGAATATAGATAGTTGAAATATTCTCTACGAAATCGGTCCACGTTTTTCCATAGCCCCCATACAAGTGGCCCCCCGGAAATCAATTTTAACAGTCATAACTGGTTTAAAAATACCAATATAAAGATGAAATGCGAGGATCGGTCTATTACTGACCTTACTCCCCATATAAGGTCCCCTTCAGAAATTTACTTTATCACTATTTACTAGCTCAGAAATGAGTCTACAGCGATGAAATTTGGCATAAACAAGTTTTGTATGAGCCAAAATCTCTCTACTAACCTCTGTGAGGATCAGTCCATAATTGACCCTATTCCCCATGTTAGATCCCCTTCAGAAAATTACTTTAACGCTTATTACTGGCTCAGAAATAAGAATGCAGCAATGAAATTCAACATAAACAAGTTTTATATTGACAAAAATCTCTCTACCAACTTATGTGAGGATCGGTCTATACATTTGACCCTATCCTCCGTATAATTTCCCCTTCAGAAAATGGCTTCACCGCTCATTACTAGCTTGAAAATACGAGTACAACGATAAAATTCAACATAAACAAGTTTTGTAAGAACCAAAGTCTTTCTACCAAATTTTCTGAGGATCGGTCAATAACCATCCTATTCAGATATTCATTTATAAGGAAGCTATTCTTTCCGGTTATGATTTGATGGATTCGGCATGGTCGAATATAACACTCTTACTCTTATATCTCCGTTTATGGGCGGATTTTGCTGATTTTAAATAGGAAACTTCCCGAAAGCATGTCTTAAAGAATTACTGAAGATTTCCGGGGTCTTCAGAAAATGATTCAACAGACACAGAGACGGACAGACAGACGAACATCGACCTTCTCACGAAGGTAAAGGGTATAAAAAAGGATGTTTTTAACAAAATTCCATGTCGTCGGAAATTTCTTTTTAAGGGAAATTTCCTACGAATTTCCTATTTAAACTAATTTTTGCAATATTTTCAAGAATATATTTAAATGGAATTTTGGGGTGTTTTGTTAAAATTCCTCTTTAAGGAAAATTATTGAAAGAAAATTAATTTGTGCAAAATTTTTAAAGGGAAAGTTTCGATAAATATTCTTTTTAAGGGATATTTTCAATAAATTGCCTTATTAAAAAAATTTTTGTATAAATTTCCTATTCAAGGAAAATTTTCAATAAATTTTCTAATAAAATAAATTTTTTGATAAAAAATTAAATAAAATTTTTGATGAATTTATTAAAAAAAAAAAATTAATAAATTTTCTTGTTGAAGAAAATTTTCCATTTATTCCTTATTAATGAAAATTTTGCATAAATTTTCTTGTTAAGGGAAATTTTTGATTAATTTCCTTTTAAGGGAAATTTTTGATAAATTTTCTTTCGATATATTTCGTTATTGTAGGAAATTTACTATAAATATTCTTAATTAAGGAAATTTTCGTTTTTCTCTTTTTGAGAAATCCTTTTTTTAAACAAATTAATATCTTTTTTATCTTCTCTTTAATATGTCTTTCTCTCTCTCTCTCTGCTTTAACAGTACCTCCCAAAAACGAAACTAAAGCGGAAAAACACAAACGTCGTTATAAAGACATTGCCCACCGAAGACGTCATAGCAGACAAAATATGACCGATGTTGTAATAGAGGAGAAACCCGAAAAAATGCTCTTTGATATTATACCCGAAAAACCACTAATTGTACCCGAAGATATGGAAAAGCATAGAAAATCTCATATGAAGTTAGTGCCTTTGATCGATGACTTTAGTGTGTTGAAAGATATGGAAACCGAAGAAACCCCTGCGAAAGAAGAACTACACAAGAGACCAAAGAAATTCCATCGTCGTGTAAGACGTAGCACTAATGGTGAACATATTGTACGTAAACGTAATCCATATTTTAGACATTTGCCCAAGGTATCGGGAGAAGTGCCCACTCAAGTACAATACATCTATGTAAAGTAAGTGGAAAGAGTTAGAGATGTGTAAAGAAATTTCATGTAATAAATAAATTTATTTTAGACATGCTGTACCTGGTAAAAAACACAATGGTTTAGATATACCAGTAGCTGGTCCCAAACCCACTACCAATGCCAAAGTTCCCATTTCATTTGATAATCGCGTGGCAGCTGATGAAAATGATCGTGTAATCTTTGCAAGTGGTAGACGTAGGTTTTTTTGCAATGTTATTTTAAAAAGTTTCACATTTTAAGTTTATTCAAACTGTTTTACAGCTACACAACGTCCCACTAGTAGGCCCGCTGAGTCAATTTTCCGTGATCCCAGACCAGAAAATTTCGATTTCAGTTTTATGAGTAAGTCATTAAAAAAAAGTGTGTTTTTAAAACTTGTATTAAAATTTTAATTTATTAGACCCTCAACGTCCTGCTACTACCACCCGCACACCAATTTTTACCCGCCGCCCTGAAGCAACAAGCAGACCACAACCAGAATCAATATTCCGTGATCCCAGTCCTGCAAATTTTGATTTCAGTTTTATGAGTAAATTTAAATTTCTCATTATTCAATTTCTTTAGTTTTCTATAATTTTCCATATTTTCTTTCAGATCAAGGTCAACAAACACAACAACAAACTTCGGTGGCTAGAGCACCTACCGCAAGTCCACAACCGGCATCGGAAGCCGGCATCTCACAATGTGTGTGGGCCATAGTGAATTGTTGTTCGAGTCGTAATTCGGAAATACGTTACTCCTGTTTCGAACAAAATGGTTGTTATGGTGCCTTTTGGGGTTTAAATCCTTGTGCTGATAATGTGCGCGATACCTTTATAAATTATGTGGCAGACTATTATAATTAAGTGGAAGAGAAAAGTGTTAGAGTTAAAACCAAATACTTATTTAGCAACCGAAAGTTGTTGAAAAACAAAAAATCATAAGGATGGAAATTTTTGTCCATTTATAATATTTATAATTAACAATTTTTATTTTGTTTTGTTAAAGTAAGAAAAATGTCTTCTTTTTTTCTCATTTATATTAGTTTTATAAGTGTACTTAAATGCACAGAAATTATGAATAGAAAGAAAAGTACTAAATTAGAGACAAAAGTCTCTTATGTAGTAATTGTTGCAAAGCGCAAGTAAACCAGGAAAATTTTTATCTTAACTAATATTTAATTGGTTTTATTAGCTCGCTAGAAAAAAAAATAAGCAAATGAAACTTGTACTAATGTCTACTTTATTTAATATTAATGATACTTTTTAGTTTTGTCTTTTTCAAGGAATTTTTTTTTTATTTTAAAACCTCTTGACTTTAATTTAATTATTTTATTTTTTATCTTGTCTTCCTTTTTTTATTGTATTTTACTCATTTTTTTAATATTTATTATTTGTTAAAGTGGAAAATTTCAATTCTCGAAACTTTTTTTTGTAACAATTATGTTGTTGTGATTTTTACGTGCATTTAAAGATTTTCTTTGTTTTTAAGAATTACCAGAAGAAAAATGTAAATTTAAGTCACAAATTTGTACTCGCATATATGTATGTATGTACGAATGAAAAATTTCAATAAAAAATGTTTAAAGAACAAGTTTTGTTCGTTAACTCAAAGTGGAGACATTTTAAAAGTTTTTAATTTATAAATTAAATGAAAAAGGTAAGTGAAATAAAAATGTTAGTATGATGCATTATTTTTAAAAGTTTCTCAAACCTTAATAAAAACAAATAAGAAAGTATAGTCGGGCGTGACCGACCATATGATACCCTACAGAAGTTATGAATATTAAATGTTATTTATTTTTCATAATAAAGCATTTATATTCAATATTGTTCCTTGTTCCAATACATATTTAAGCAATTTATGGATGAAAAACTAAATTTCTGAAAGAGGCTTTATATGGGGGGCTAGGGGCAAATATGGACCAAACCCGATAAAGTTTTGTGAATGTATTTATATTTATATAATATTTATTTGTGCTGAATTTCATCGCGATATTTGTGTTTATAAGTTAATTTTGGGCATTGAAGTAATTTTCTGAAGGGGACCTTGTATGGGAGCTAGGGTCAAATGAGTCCCGATCTTTATGAAATTTGGCGAGGTCATCTAGACTTGTATAAAATTTAGTTGTGTCGCTTTTTATCAATATATAGGTATATTTAACACAATTATGAGCTCAGATGCCCTTTTCAGGGGGTCTGTTGTATGGGGGCTAGGTGAAATAATGGACCGATTTTAACCATTTTCAATAGGCTTCGTCCTTGGGCCAAAAAAGCGTGTGTGATAAATTTCATCCAATTATCTTGAAAATTGCGACCTGTACCTTGCGCACAAGGTTTACATGGACGGCCAGCCAGCCAGATGGACGGACATAGCTTAATCGACTCAGGAAACGATTCAAAGCCGATTGGTATACTTTAACATCAGCACAAACCCAATATACCTTCCCTACTAAAGTGGTGTAGGGTATAATAAATAAAATCGGTGTTATTAGAAAAGAAGTAAGACATGCTCTTGAAAAAGTATTTTACTTTAGCTGCGATATGTATGTGTATTTAAGTAACTTATAAAATGGTTATAATGGGGAGGGCATCATGCTTTTGAAAAAATAATATCATAGAATCAAATTCTAAATCAGATATAGATATAGTAGCAAGTATTTTGAGAGGTTTAATGCGAGATATATGCCTAACGTTGTATGTCGTAATTTTGAAAACAAACCTCTTATAAAACAAGTAAGAAATTATAGTCGGGCAAGGCCGACCATATAATACCCTACAACTGTCATAATGGGTTCAGTTGTATGGGGGCTAGCTAAAATTATGGACCGATGTTAACCACTTTCAATTGGCTTCGTCTCTGGTACAATAGAAGATCATATTGGCAATACCATACTATTGTATGTGACATTCGCACGCCTTCAGAGTGGTATAGATTTTGTAAAATTATTAGTACTGGGAAAACAATTTTGTCATTCTGTTCCATTTAAAGAATACTATATTTGCAAAAGGAATCATTCCATTTGGAACCTTGTTTTCCAAAATATGGATTAAAATATGACGATATCATATGTGACAAAAAACGGAAGTGTTTTTAAAGTACATGTAAATATTTACGAAAATCTGCGAATTCTGTAGATGTATCTTTTTTGTTATAATTTCTTACACTATGGGACACATTTTTTATTAGTAATCCATAATTTTTAAATAAAAAAAAAGGAGTAGGAAAGTGCAGTCGGACATGGCCGACCTATATACTTGTTTAAGCAATTTATAGATAAAAATAAAAAACTGGAGTTATATGGCGACTAGGGTCAAAAATGGACCGATCTTCATAAAATTCTAGGGTGTGATTTTAATTAGTATAAAACTTATTTACGCCAAATTCATAATACTAGTGATTAGAAGTGAGTTACGGACGTTCAATTGTTTTTCTGAAATTAAACTTTGGATGGAACTAGGATAGTATTATAATTAACAGAATTATGAGCTAAAAAGTGATATTTTCGGCTCCGTTTTTATGGCGATGAGGTGTAAAAATAGAAAATTTTCAACAGTCATCGTCTTTGTTGCTACAAAAGATCATATACCAAATTTTGTTGAATTATCTTCAAAAATGCAGAAGTTATAAGGATTTTATTTTTTCAGTCGTGGTTTACCTTTTCATGGAATTGCCCATATGTTAATTTTCATTGACTTATCTTCAAGGTTTATCAAGACTTAAATGCCCTAGTCGGGGGTTCAGTTGTATGGGGGCTAGGTGAAATAATAGACCGATCTTAACCATCAATAGGCTTCATTTCTGGTACAATAGAAGATCATTTCATTGAATTATTTTCAAAATTGTGATCCGTACTTTGATTACAAGGTTTACATGGACGGACGGACATATCTAAACCGATTGGTATACTTTAAGGTAGGTATAGGACAAATATTATTGTGTGTTACAAACATCCCTTCCCACTAAAGTGATGTAGGGTATAAAAATCATGACAACGATATAACACTAAAATACCGATTATGAATTGTATTAAAGTTAATCAATTCTCTTTATATCCCAATGATCGAACATGCATGGTGGAAGCCGAAGACTCTGTTTACTTAGCAAATCTCTGCCTACTAAACAAATAATGGATAATTTTCAATCGTACGCTAAACATGGAATCGGTACTAAAACAAGTAAAAGTTCTGTAGATTCTGTTGTGCCGAATATTATATACCCTTCACCATGATGTGTAAAAAAACGGTCAGCATGAATTTTATTTAAAAAACAAAAATCAAAAAATACCAGTTGTAAAACGAAAAAGTACCTGAAAGTCTACTTTTATAGATTTTCATTCAACCAGGGTGCTGCGTGAGTGCATAAAAACCAAAAAATTACCAGTCATAGAACGAAAACCTACCAAAAATCCTTTTCTATAGATTTTTGTTTTTTATGTTTCTTGGTTCAATATTATAAAAAATTCTAAAAGTACTCTTTGAAAAAGGAAAAAGTACCAAAAAGTCCCTTTTTATTTGCTCTCACTTACTTCGGTCTCTACAAGATTAATTTTATGTTTCTTGGTTCAATATTATAAAAAATTCTAAAAGTACTCTTTGAAAAAGGAAAAAGTACCAAAAAGTCCCTTTTTATATGTTCTCACTTACTCCGGGCTCTACATGCTTAATTTTTTGTTTCAAGGTTCAATATTATAGAAAATTCAAAAAGTACCTTTTGAAGAACGAAAAAGTACCAAAAATGCACTTTTAATTTGTTTTCACTTACTCCGGACTCTACATGATTAATTTTATGTTTCTATGATCAATATTATAAAAAATTCAAAAAATAGCTTTTGAAGAACGAGGAAGTGACAAAAAGTACCCTTTTATAGAAAATTCCAAAAGTACCCTTTGAAGAACGAAAAAGTACCAAAAAGTCGCTTTTTATATATTTTCACTTAATCATGTTTATATGTATGTATGTTCAATATTATTAGAAATTTTTGCTTTGTTAAAATCTTTCTTTGCTTTGTTTTTATAAACAAGCATGCATCACAAATCTCAATTTTGGATGAAATTTTCACAGGCTGTCTCGGATTTTTGCTCATATCTCCGTTATCTATGTACCGATTTTGCTGATTTTAAATAGAAAATTTCTCGAAAGCATGTCTGACAGAATTGTTGAAGATTTGGTTCCCGAAGATATCTGGGGTCTTCCGAAAATTGATTACAACAAACATACAGACGGACAAAGATTAATCGACTCCACTATCTATAAGGATTTGGAATATACATATATACTTAATAGGATCGGAAAATTATATTATGGAAATTACAAACGGAATGACAAACTTTTATATGTATATCTTTCTCACCAAGGTGAAGGGTATATATGTATACTATCTATCTCGTTGGGGTGGCTTGAGGGCCGGATTACAATTTGATTGCATTTGTACCTCATTTGTATTAATCAAAAATTAACATATAACAAGTTTATGTGGAGTCCTCTATAAAGGTGCTGTTTTGGGAACCTCATTTTTGGGCCACCCTAATGTACATACATATATGAATAAAAAAAATCAAAGAATATTAAAAATCATACGTTGTTAGGAATTAATTGCTACACACATACAAAGCTGCTTATAACTCTTAAGTATTTATGGAAAGATTTTACTATAAGTAGATTTAGATTTTGTTGTCGTCCCAATAATGGATTTAAGCTGCAATTTGTGTGAAACAACTTTTCATAACAATTTCCTTAAATCGAAAAAAAATCTACTAATGAATGGATTAAATCATAAGAAAACCGGATCTGTTAATGTAAACATATCCATGATTATTTACTTATTATAAATAAAGGAAAATGTAACTTATTTAATAACATATCTCAAAAAGTATAAGCAACAATATGTTGTGTGTATTTAAGTCTATACAGTTTTTGAAAATATCAAAATTTATGTTATAGGTATTTTTTTAAAGAGTTGTACTTATTTAGATATTTATTGCTAAAATTTTTCTGCGTAGAGATACCTTGAATTATTAAAAGCTTTCCATTTGATTTCTTTGTAGCACTTAACTGGATTTAAAAAAATTAATTTATATTTATGTGTCCTGTGATGGAAGTTACAGTTTAGGGTGGTATTTATTTTGGGATTTTTTGAAAGAAATAGCAATAATTTTCACTAAAACACAACTAAAATTTTTTTGAAACAGTAA